TCTAAGGGAAATTGATTGCTCCAATAAAAGAGTTGACTTAACTTTTGATGTTAGATATTGCAAATGGAAAAGGAGATATGCTTAATCTCTTTTATGAGGCTGGAGAAAGAGATTTTACATAATATAAAACTGAAGATAATAGAACTGTTGCTCATTTGGCTGTATCTGTAGGTAATGATGCTGCTTTACAATTTCTATCTAATCCTGGAGTGATTTTTGATTGGTAGGTATAAGACAAGTTTGGCAGAATACCGAAGGATGAGAAAATATTATAGAAAAGATTATTAAAGAGATGATGAAATCCAATAAACATTTATAATTTTAATAATATTAAGTATGTAAAATTATTGTTCTTTATGTGAATTATAAGATGGAACCTTAAAATAAGAATTATTCTTGTTTCCTTTAGAATTTAAGACATAATACACAAATGTTCATATCCAATAAATAATTTAGAAATTGATTACATTTCACACACAGTAAATCATATTCATAGATCATTATATCCTGTTTTATAACTAAAAATATATTTGTGAATTATGTTGGTAATTTATTCAGCAAGGTTTCATATGTTACAAATGTAAAGTCTATAATTTTGTATAGAATGGATTAATTAAAAATTGTAATTTCTATTAATCTAATTTCTGCTTATATTGTGGAGTATAACTTGAACTCTCTTCATCCACTAAAGGCATTTTTTTTAATTTATAGATTCTCTTTTAAAATAATATATAGAATATTTGCATCTATATTTTTATTTAAATCACTTATAAATGTCTATATATATTAAATAATTATTATTTATGATTAACAAACACATATACGATTTGATTTTAGATTATTTATTTATTGGCAGAGAAATTAGAAAAATTATAATCATTATTAATAATAAAATTAAAGTCTTCAAATAATGATGAAATTGTTTAACAATTTATCATAATTCATTCATATTTTCTATTCAGCCAGAATTATTATATTGGAACTTACTAATTATTAAAGTTGAAATGTTATTAATATTCACCTGCAATCAGCTCATCACTTCTAATCATACTACCACATGCCATAATGAAACCGAAACTACCTCCACTGACTATTACTGATATAGGAATCATAGATAATTTTTTATATTAAACTGCTGCCCATAATCCAGTAACTAATCCAAATCCACCTCCAACCAATGATCCCATTATAAAACCTTATTTTGCATACACTTAAACTTCAGCAAACTTTCTTTTTATTATTCGCCATTTCCTTTATCTTGCAGTTTCAGTTTAAGGAGCCTCTAATCTATCCTTTAGATTTTATTCAGAGAGCAACTTTTCATATTCGTCTTCCTTACCAGACATAAAATTAAATATAAAATAAAAAATTATTATAATTTTCTTTTCAAATATATACTTCCTTCTCATTATTTTATATAATAAAATATTTTATTAATATTCTCTTTAATGTTTAAATCCTTAATCTTCTTATTATTCCCTTCTTATAAACTTTATTACCAAAGTATCTGTAAAATAACAATCTATTGTATTTATATAAAATATTAACATGTAATTATATTAATTGTATGTTTAAAGAAATCATTGAAATCAAATTTATATCATATTGAAGGATCAATATTGATTATCTTAATTTAATAATTATCCTTCAAAGAATTATATTCTTTTATAAACTATATTGCATAATTTATTGTCTATTTATAAACTATTAAAAATTCATTTCTAATCTAATTTGTGTTTTTATCAAATTCTCATTTTTATACTGATTTTAAATCAAATCAACATTTATTAATACTCAAATTTGTAGATTTATCATTATATAAATTTAATTATATTTATACTATTATTTTAACTATTAAGTCTTTTAATTTCTATTATTTTATATTAATTTTTGACTTAATAAAGTAAATTTTTAATATTTTATATATTATTTCTTTATAATAATTTTTTTAGATTATTTAAACTTCTTTTGATTTAAAACATTAATTACTAATAAATTTTCTATAATTTTATTTTTAGTAATAATTAAATATATCTAATTGATAACTTTAATAGATATTTTAGAATAATTATATATAATACCAATAATATATGATGATTTAATATTGAAAGCAATTAATTTTATAAAAAATAGATGACATTAAGAGTTTAATAAATAAATACTCAAAGTGCTAGTAATTTTTTATTTGCTAATGATATGGATGTTTAGACTAATTCTTATATTATTTTACATTCTAATTCTGGAAGAACTGTTGCAAAGAAAGCAATGAGATCTTATAAAATTTTAGATTTTAATGTAATTTTTTATTTATCTTTTGAATTTTCTATCTAACCTAAAATTTCATGGATTTAGTAGAGCAATTTAATAAATTATTATGTATGAACATTTTTTAAACATGATACTTCAGTAATTTTAATTTGTATTCCTTATGAATATTTATTGATTTCCTCATTTATAATAGTAATTTAATTAAGTGGTTCTTATAATTTATTTTCTTCTATAATTAATTATTATTAAGTTATGATTTAATTAGAATAGTTTAATGATGCTTACACTTCTTGTGGATTGATATTTTCTTCCTATTATTAATGGATATCTACTTGATCATCTTAATTATTAATCTATGCAATTTAGATTTCAACATTTTCTTAATTAACAAGTTTAATTTATGATTAATCTGGTGATTTAATTTCATTTTATTAACTCAATTTAACAGATTAATGAGAATCTTCAAAATTTTAGAATTCTATTTTATTGGGAGTTAGATTCTATGTATGTGAGGGAGTAGTTGGGAAAAAGAGTTTTTTAGGGACAGTGAAATTATTAGGAGAAGTAAATATTGGTCTTTTGGTTGGACTTGAATATAGATTTTAGGGAGTAGAGAATTTAGCATCTTAATAACGATTCCACTTTTAATCTTGTTTTTCCTTTTACTTTTCAATTAACTTGACAAAAGGTTTAGGAATAGGTTCATTATCTCTTGAGTAATAAAGAGCTTTTTCTTTTAGTTTTGGAGATCTATTTCTCATTTGATAATATAAAATAAAAATAAATCACTTTGGTTTTTGAATTTTAGGTTCAATAATAGATTCTTCAATTCTAGATCTATAGAGAGGATCAAGTGGACTTAAATTAAGATTCCTTTATTGAGAGATTTAGATCTACTCAAAAAATTGAACAATATTCTTGTCAATCATATGCAATAATTTATCATCTACAATACTTTTACGTTTCTCTTATTATAAAGAAGAGAATGAACAATAATAATCTTTAAGTTTAGTCTGTAGTTTTTTATTGTTTATCACTCTAAAACTCTTTTGTAATTCTATTTCTTAGATTAAATCATCAACAATAAGATCATCAGGTTAATCTTATTCAATTTATAATAGAGGTTTTGGTAATAAATCAAATAATTTATTTTATTCTTCATTTAAGAGAATAAATCTAAGCATATCAATTTAGTGTAATTTCTCTATAATTTTCACAATATCTACTTATCCCAAGATTTCTTATTTGACTTTATCAAACATATGTCTTTTATTTTTATGACATCCAAGTAAAATAAGGAAAGATTCATAAAGACTTTTTGATAGTTTTTCTTCTTATGTTGGTATTTAATCTTATCTTATAGTAGATAATGGATCAATTATATTATTGTTAATATGATTATTTTAATTCTTCTCTATAGAATATGGATTCTTTGGAAATCTATATAATTCATTAGCTATTGATATAGTCATGAGATTGTTAATCAAAGGATTTAAGATTGTGGCTGTCAATATTACAAATAATTGCCAAATACCTCCTATTTTACTTAATATAGTCTATAATTTTATATAAGTTCTACGATATACACTCTCTTTATAATCTAATTATATATAATGATAAACTAAATAATTATCATTATACAATTCAGAATATTCTCTTCTATCTTATTTAACTAAATTTAAATCTACTCTATCTTTTGATAGAAGTAGACCATCATCAGTATGAGTTTCAAAAATTCTATAAGTCCATTATAACATCTTAGAAGTTGTTATTGAAAAACTGTTTATATCTAAATTAATCAATTAAGAATAGGGTTGTCCAGGTTTGTTAAATTACATTAAATAATCACTGGCATATACTGAATAATGACCTGCAGATAAAACATTATTAATTTCTTCTTTTGATGCACAACCTTAATATTCTGTGCTATTCTTACAAACACTTAATTGAATCACCAAGTATTAGTATACTGATCCAGATATCTATCCTTGTAGAACCTGTGAAATTTTATAGTAAATTTACTGGTGGATTTCTCTTTAAAAATTCTCTATTTAAGCATTAAACGACTCCTAATCTAGTATTCTTGAAAAAGTTTTATTGTATTTCATTATCGAAATCTTCTTTTGTACATGGTGCAATTGGAAGACTTGTGCAACTTAATAATATAATTAAATACTTTAATGTAACATTAACACTTCCATTAATATAATTGACAAGTCTTTTTCTAATACATTAATTCACAGTGATATTATAATACTTCAAATTTCCTACAATTGGCTCTGAATGTTAGTTAGCAATTGTTATAGCTAGAGTGAAGTTATCATTATAGAGTGGAAATTACTATAATAAAATATAGATTATACTGTTGAGTTAAATATTTGTTGCTCTGATTACACAACACTAGGTTCTGCTTGATCAATTAAGATAATCATTTCGGTTATCAAATAAATCAAAGTGGCTGAACCTATAAGAAAGGTCATACAACATCCTACAACAGAAGTATATCTTCCTTTTTCAAGTACTCTAAAATTGGGCAATTATCCAAAGATATCAAAAGTGTCAATAGTATAATTACTCACTCTTTTTAAGATTTTCTTCTATTGTCCAATCATTTCTATATTTAAATGTTAATTAATAATTTCAAACTACTTTTATATTATCCTAAAATGATTCAATTAAATAAAGAAAGAATACGTAAACCTCAATTTATATAAATAATAAATATATATAAATCAATTTTTAAAATATTTGTTTTTGAATTGTTAATCATTTCCTCTATCTGTCTGACAATATTAATATTATTAGATTTAGTGTTATTTTTATTAATTAAAATCCAATTTAATTCCTTGATATTTAAAAGGTGATAAATGAACATCTTATTAAATATTAATTGGTGAAATTGGATTATGAGGCATTGGTTTATTTATATAAAATTATTAATTTTGTATTTGTTATTTCTATAATGGAAATTCATTAAAGTTTTGAATTATATTATTCTATCTATTTGGAGATAAGCTAGTATTATATCTCTATGTATTGTCTCCACCTTTACGAACATAGGATATCAGAAAATTCTCAGCCAATTTCTTACAACGTTCAATGAATATAGTAAGTTTATCATCATAACATTTATATAATTCTTAGAAACTAACTCTTTCATCAGGATTACTTTGTATCATGTACATTATTAAATTTACAAACCATTAATCTGAATATTCAATTTTTCCTAATTTCTAAAGTCTAGAACTCAAAGGTGAATTATAGAATTCCTTCAAATTCTTAGGCTTATCAAAAGGCAATTTTTAAAACTATAATTCATACAATACAAGTCCAATCTATTTTATTTATGATTATATACAGAATAAACATCAACTTTTGATATTTTTTCATAATCAAATTAGAAATTATTTTAACTTTACATATATTATAGTTCAGGAGCAGCATATATTTTGGTACCCATTTAGCTTTAATTATTAAAAAATTGTTCACAAAGCTTTGCTACTCCAAAGTCTGCCAATTAATATATAGGTTTTCCCATCTTAAAACTTATTAGAATATTTTCAGGTTTAATATCTCTATGAATAACTCTTTTGTCATATAAGGATTTATATCCTTTTAAAAATTACTAGAAGAATTAGAGTTTAGAATTCAGACTTGTAAGTTTACTCTTAAAATCTTTTAAATTAATATCACATTCTTCCATAAGAATACAAAAAGATTTCAAATCTTAAAAATGGATTATATTTACGATAGTGACTAAATTCTCATTATTCTTAAAATCCTCTACTAATTTATTATATATTATGATTTCTTTATAAATTGATTATTCATCTTTCGAATTTAATGATTGATCATATTAGATAACCTAATCAATATATAAATATATATACTTTTAAAATGCCTTATTTCCAATTATTTTGATAGTTATATTTACAACCATAAATCTTTCCCTCAGATCCACTATAATTTTTATAAGGCCATTAGAGTTGTTCAATTTTTAATAATTTCAAATTGTATATCAATCTGTCCAAAAATTCCATTTTATTAAATAATAATTATAAATAAAAGTATCTTTAAATTGAAAAACATTGAATTCATTTATTGTCAATATTTAATAGTTCCTATGTTTAGAAAGTATTATTCAAAAGACTTATAGAAAAATTAATAACTAAACTAGAACGAGAATCTCAAAAGAATATTATTATTTAATTAAAAATTCAAAAAGATCTTACTAATCATTTATACTTCTTTTTAATCTATTAACTAATTCATTTAAGTTCATTTATTATTAATATATAAAATAATTAATATAAAGATATAGTATAATAATTAATATTTTTTATAAAATCATAAGAATTATTATATAGATAAATGCTTCAAATAAAACAAAGAATAGTGGCTAATAAAAGTATATAAAAAGATACTATATGAATATGCCTAATATATATAAGATACAAATTACTCATAACATGCTTAGTAATATTTAAGTGTGATCATAAGTGAGATAACTTATGCAACTGTATTTACTATTAAAGCGATACTTTATTTTATAAAGTTTAACATAAATAAAGAAATTAAAGGTAAAAACACAAGGGAATTCCATATTAAAATTTATCTTAAATCTAATGAAATTTCTAATTCATTTATTTTTAACTTTGACAATATTAATATTTATCTTAAACAAATAAATGCAAATAATATAACTTATACTAAATACCATGATTAACTAATGTATAAATTACAAATTAAAACAGTTTAGAAAAATAAAGTTAACAAAATCTTCTTCCATGTAACTTTTTTTGGTTCATCAATTTTAATTGAATCATTATTAGTATAATCCAATTGAATAGCTCCTCTTAAATTATCATCAATAATTTAATTTGTTTGTTATTGACTCTCATAAAGAATCTAAATTTTAGGTCCTCCTTTTTTATCAATGTTTGATAATAACTTTGTTATAGTTTTGTCATTTTAGTATATAACTTCCATCTCTTTTCCAAGTTAATCATAATTAACTGATTTCAAAGTCTTAAGTAATCCAAATTTGATCTCTCCACAATCATCTTGAAACTTTATAACGTTAAAATTAGCTAATAAATAAAGACACTTTATTTACATTAAATCTGTTAATTGCTTTGCTATCGTTAAGGTATACCACCATTGCTATAGTTTTTAGAATATGATGATCTTTTGTTATCTCCCAAGAAACTCATACCAGAATCCTATTTAATATGTTGCTATCCTCTTTCCGTAGTATTTTAGGGTCCATTAATATTCTCATTAGAAAGTCGATTCTATTTAGGTGTCATACTAGAATTGCTTTCATGAATTGATGGAATAGCTGGTAAATATTGAGGTTATTATTCTATTTCTTGATCTAATTTTCCTGTACGTTCTTAAACTTATGTATTCAATATGTTTATCTATGGAATATAGGTTTAGGTTGGTTATTTGCAATAATATCTTAATATTAAAAACATTGCAGCTGCTATTGTTAAATCTATTATTATTTGGTAACACATATTTACATTACAAATTTCCTATCATTCTTATTTCAATCAAAAATATGCTAATGTTACATATAGAAAACAATAGTTAAATCTTCTATTTATTCAATTCTCGGTCATAAATATAAAATAAAGTGATCACAGATGAAGATAATAAAATCAACTAAAATTGCAGAAGTTCATTATTCATGATTTAATTATTATTTCCTTTAAATTAATTTAATCCATTTCTAAATTCAATGAATTATCTACAAATATCCTTTACATATATGACTCATAACAATATTTAAATTAAATTGAATAAAAAATGTGATAAAAAAAATCTATAAATTTAATTATTCTTCTTGACTTATCGTTTATTGCTATTGGTAATTAGATGATTTCCAAAATAAAAAACTTATTTTAATTCCATTAATATATATTTATTTATAAAATGACTGAGTATTATGTATTAAAGAAAAGTCTCTAAACATTTGAAAATTATGGTAAGACTCAAGAAATTAGATAATAACTATTATAAGGAGATACTCAAGTTTTAAAAAATATCATCACATTACTTATAGCTATTCTTAAAGATCCAAAAACAGATCCAATTATGATGCTTCAAGCTGTTAGAGTATATAATAAATCTATTTCTTTATAGTTTAGTAAAGACTGTATGGAAACATTCAATGATGATTTCATTAGTCAATTCTAATTGGAAGTCTTACCATATTTTGAATCAATGGCGATGTTTGAATATAAAAGTGAAGCTCATGATAGAGGCTAATTTTATTTTAGTAAAGAGCCTGATCCTTATACAGCAAAACTTGGAAATACTTTATTACATTTAGTTTTAGAATGCATATGGGTTTGGGCTAAATGGTTTCCCATGGATCCAGATTGTTTGAAAGTCTCATGTTATAGAATTACACTAGAAAAGTTATGCATATTAGGAGTGAGATTTAATAAGATCCTGTACTTTAACAAGTTATTAATTAAACGTCATTTGCCAGAATGTATGGTACCGATGAAAATTATTCAGGAATTAAGAAGAGCTGTTAAATTAGATTTATAATAGTATATATACAAATTTGATTTAGAACCTTTGGTAATGGTAGTTCCAGTATCATTATCCAATAAAGATTAAGTTAATTATTACCTCAAGAAATGGCTAGAGATGAGAGTTAAGAAGTCTTTTATTCTGATATGATTAGACGATTATATCGCCAACATCTAAAAAATGAAAGAAAATAAGTTCCAAAGAAATCTGGATAAGATGAATCATTTGTTTATATGCCTGAAGAAAAAGAAAACAATATTCAAAATTAGCAAATGCTTTAATTGAATGCCATCATATAAAAAACTCAGTCAGACTTTATGTCAACTATAATTCAAAAATAAGAACTCCAAAAATAACTAAAAGAATAATAAGAAAAAATAAAAGTTATGCAACAAAGAATAGAAATCCAAGATGAACGCTTAAAATATTATGAAGGTGAAAGACCGCTTAGATCATAATTTTTCCAGTCACGATTTGTATAGTCTAATAATCAATCAGTTTAACAATCATTTATCCAATAGTAATAACATTCTTGATTACAATTTATTTATTCATCATCATATATGTCCTTCAATTATACATAATTGTGAAATTTTTCTATTCGAATTACAAAATATACATCTCTAAAGATTTCTTTCAAAAAAGGGGCAAAAGTAGACTTAAAAACCTAAATTCTAATTTCCTTACAATCTTGAGCTTAGAATAACCCAGAATGAAATTATATCTAAGCTGTATTTGATTAACTACTTGAAATATTCATATCCATTTTTCAATTTTGCTCATGTCCCATGAATTTTTAGGAATTTAACAATTAGTATATTGGTATTTGTTTCACTGAATTAAGTAATTCTACTTTTGGATGTAACCACCTATTCTACAATATTTTTAAGTATAATTTTATAACATTATTTACATCGGGCATCAACCTGATCTCAAAAATGCTCTTCCTTTCACTTAATCCTATTCAATTTGATGACTAGGGATTCATTTCATCCTTTTTTTGAGATATGTACACAATAGAACCATCCGTTCTGCTTTGATGAATGAAATCAGAAAATTTTGAAAATTGCTTAAATTTTCTTTTTTTAATCAAACTTCTACATTATTACCAACATAGTGCTTCAAACAAAATAACAAAGTATCTTGAACCTTAAAATAACTTTAGATTAAAAATTCTGGAATCGTATCTTAGAATTACATAAATAAACTCTTATTTCAATAATTAAACTCAATAAATTACCGTCAGGGGTTCATAACCCCGTTAATTAAGAATGAAAAAAACATAATTTATTTACTTGAAATGAAAATCATCAAAATTTTACTACTCCTTTGCATTGTCTCTTCAGTGTTCACACAACTTACTTAAGGTGCTCAATAACCTGGCCAAGGTATGATCTTTAAATTTATAGTATTTTAGTACCCTCTGGAAGCTCAGGTCCCACATAAGGTGCCCCTACTGGCCAATAAGGATAATAAAATACATCCGGTATCTAATTATATCTTATCATTTTTAGGCGGCTAACCATAAGGTGGTATGTAACAAGGTGGCTAACAAGGTGGTATGCAACAAGGTGGTCAATAAGGTGGATAATAAGGCGGATAATAAGGCGGATAATAAGGTGGTCCATAAACTGGAGGAAAAGCCAAGAAATGCTTACCAACCTAAGCACAATAAGGATAACAATAATAATAAGGACAATAATAAGGATAATAATAGGGTTAATAATAAGGACAGTAATAACCAACTCAATAAACCCTTCCTGGAAATCAACTTCCAGATTAATAAGTGTAATAATAACCATCAAGTGGAACTTAACAACCACCAAGTGGAACCTAACAACCACCAAGCGGAACCTAACAACCATCAAGTGGAACTTAATAACCACCAAGTGGAACTTAATAACCAGGTGGAACTTAACAACCAGGTGGAACTTAATAACCAGGTGGAACTTAATAACCAGGTGGAACTTAACAACCAGGTGGAACTTAACAACCAGGTGGAACTTAACAACCAGGTGGAACTTAATAACCAGGTGGAACTTAATAACCAGGTGGAACTTAACAACCAGGTGGAACTTAACAACCAGGTGGAACTTAACAACCAGGTGGAACTTAATAACCAGGTGGAACTTAATAACCAGGTGGAACTTAACAACCAGGTGGAACTTAACAACCAGGTGGAACTTAACAACCAGGTGGAACTTAATAACCAGGTGGAACTTAATAACCAGGTGGAACTTAACAACCAGGTGGAACTTAACAACCAGGTGGAACTTAACAACCAGGTGGAACTTAATAACCAGGTGGAACTTAATAACCAGGTGGAACTTAACAACCAGGTGGAACTTAACAACCAGGTGGAACTTAACAACCAGGTGGAACTTAATAACCAGGTGGAACTTAATAACCAGGTGGAACTTAACAACCAGGTGGAACTTAACAACCAGGTGGAACTTAACAACCAGGTGGAACTTAATAACCAGGTGGAACTTAATAACCAGGTGGAACTTAACAACCAGGTGGAACTTAACAACCAGGTGGAACTTAACAACCAGGTGGAACTTAATAACCAGGTGGAACTTAATAACCAGGTGGAACTTAACAACCAGGTGGAACTTAACAACCAGGTGGAACTTAACAACCAGGTGGAACTTAATAACCAGGTGGAACTTAATAACCAGGTGGATAATTTCCTGGCTAATAAGGTGGTTAACAAGGTGGTTAACAAGGTGGTCAATAAGGTGGTCAATAAGGTGGATAATAAGGTGGATAATTCCCTGGTGGATAATAAGGTGGATAATAAGGTGGATAATAAGGTGGATAAGGACAAGGATAAGGTTAATAACCTTAAGGACCTCCTTAATCAAAAGGATAATGGAATTAAGATTCAGAACAACAAGAAAAATGTGTTGAAGTTGAAGTTAGTTGTGCTGAAAATGAAATAGTTTTCAAAGATAGATGTGTAGCTTAAACATGTGAAAACTTAGAAAAAGTTTAAAGCAAATAAGAAGGTGGAAAAAAGAAGTTACCAATGAAATTTGAAGGAAAAGCTGACTTTAATGATAATAAAGATGTTGTTGTATAATTGGTATTCCCTGATAACAAAGATAAACCTCTTATTAAATCTGATGGAAATGCCAATGCTTGTATCGAAAGATCAATATACAGATATAGACCAAGTTTCTTAAGTGAAACTTTAGATGATTCAACTGTTACAAGCAGTTATGATGATGATAAATAAGTAAGAATTTGGGAATTCACAATATTGAATGCTGACATTGATAGTAAATTATTCAAAGATGAATAAACCGATAAGGTTGTTTATACTGGTTACTATTCAGTGAAATTAACAATTTAAGAGAAGAAATTAGTTTAATTCTTCTTTACATTCTTTGTAGCAGTAGACTTAGATGGAAATGTTTTATCAGCTCAAGCTTAATCTGAAGCTTAAGATGATACTCCAGCTTGTGCAACTGAAGATAATTGTGTTTCAAGAGCAGAAACTGAAGTAGGATTTTGTAGTGATGAAACCTGTTAAACTCTTGTTGAATAGCCATAAGTTTATGCTGGTTAAAATTTCTTTGTTGTTCAAAGAGTAAAATAAACTGGATTTGAATCATGGAAAGTAGGAGATGCTGATGTTACCATTACTGGTGATGGAGTGAATAAAAAATTGAAACCAACTAAATAAGAAAAATAACCAGGATAAACAATTTATACATTAAATGTTAATATTCTTGCTAATAATGTTGAATTCTCAGTCAATGGTAAACTTGAAGATCCAACTGCAGCTCGTAGATTCAGATTTTTAGAAGATGCTGCCACTACTGATGGCACTGAAGTCTCATCTGCTAAAGCTGTTGGTTCAACTACTTTAGAATGCATTAAGAAGGATGCCAATTCTTCATGCCCAACCGCTGAAGAATCTAAAGCATATAATTAACCAGATTGTGGAACTATTGGATAAACCGAATGTGAAAGCAGTAATGGACAAATCTGGTCATTTTTGATGTTTGCCATCTTAATGCTAGTACAATGATTAATTATTTACATCATAAAGCACATAAATAAAATTTTTCACATAATTTTTTAATAATTTAATAGAAAATAAAAAAATATTAATATTAATATATAATAATGTTAGGAATGGAATATATATGTTAATAATATTATAGTTATTAAGATGTTTAATAGTTAAAAGAAATAATATAGATTGATTAGATTGGAATAATAAATATTTATGAAGATGAAAAAATAATTAAATATTAAATCGATAGATCATAATGTCTTAGATTAAGTGATCTTATATATATGATTGTAAATTATATAATTAATTATTAGAATTAAAACTTTGCACATTTATATTTAGGGTAATTATTAACCTTATTTGTTAATTTATTAAATAAAGTAATATCATTATAAACTTAATATAATATTAATCATTAATATTTAGATCCAAATAGAATATGGTTAATATTTTAAAATTCATTCAAATCTGTAGGTTTTGTTTATACTAAAATTGATTATAAAATAGCATTTACAGGATATCAATGTTAATAATATGAAATAGGTTCAAATCTACCCATATCAGCTTATGAAAAAATTTAACAAATTATAAAAGCAATTTTGAAGTAATTTTAAAAAAATAATATATTTTTTAATAATTCTTAACAAAATGAAATTTAGTAATACATTTATGATCCAATTATATAAGTTTGTGATAAACTTGATATTTTTGCTACTTTAGATAAAATTTAAGATATCTTAAAAGGATTTGGATTTGATGAAAAAAAATAAACTATTAAATTTGAAGATTCATTAAAAAATTAAAAAGTAGAAATCATTAGAAATCAAAACATAAAATAAATTGAATAATAGATTAAAGAGTATGTTTAAGTTTTAAAAGATAAAGAAAATCCCTTAATTTTGGAAATGATAATTTTAAATTAGATGAAAAACATAGCATCTACTATAGAAAATTAATAAAAATTAAAAAAAGTAGAAAAGAATAATCATTATTTAAAGTCAATGGAATAATTTTTTGAAGAATATTAAATCTAATTAAAGAATTCTACAGAAAATATTATTTAAGTAATTGTCAAGGATACTTTATAATAAAAATTAATATAATATAAATTAGAATATTTAGAAGAAGAAATACAAAAATTAACTTAAAATATAGTAAATAAAATTGTAAATATGAGATTGAATTAATACTTTTATAATTCTCCACATTATTATATCAGATATGATTTATAGCATTTGTTATAATGTTAATTAAGTTTATATTCTAAATTGTTATTAGAAATAGTGGATGAAGAAATTGATATATTCATTTTATTATAAGTAATATTAGTCATTAATGAATTTATTTGAAAAATCTATCTATCTAAAAGTATGTATATTAGTTAAAAGAATACAAATATTTTATTTTTATTAACTTTTATTATTATGCGAAATGTTATTATAAGATAAAATTCATTAATATTTTATATATTATAATAGAATATTACATTAAAACTGCTTAGAGCATATAATTAGTTTTCAAAATATTAATAAATCTAACTATAGATTTATTTTTATTCAAATATCATTATATTCTAAATTTATTAATTTTTTAATACAAGCTAAGATTATTTGGGTTTGCAATTGAAATTCATCCATTTACAAAAAATTGCTCCATCTATATAAATAATCAAATTAATAAATGGAGGCCACTAATATAAATGACTTATCAGAACTTATAAAGGAAAAAGAGAAGGTCTACACATTTCGAATGCTTGAAAAAAAAGATGCTTATGAACTCATGGTACTAATGAGTGATGCATTTGTGTATTATAATGATGCATTCAAGATTTTAGAATCAATCGACTCAGATATGAATAATGATGCCTGCCTTCAAGAATAGTAATGATTATTTATAAACTATTAATTAGTGTCTTGATGGTTGAAAAAAATCTCTCTTTTGGTGCATTTCATGGAGAGAAACTTGTTTCAGCATGTTTAAGTTATGATTTATCATCTAAGTCAGATATGCATGTAGATGATGGAAAAGAACCCTCCTAAGCTATGAAAGAAATTGGAAAAATGATCAAAACTTTGTTAGATGTATATAGTGATACAAAAAGTCTTCCAAAAAATGAAATATCTTATTTAAGTCACTTAGCAACAAGAGCTGATTACTGCTAACAAAATCTTGCCATTATATGTTCCTATTTGTCAGCAGTAGAAAGTAGAAAACAAGGATTTAAAAAAATGCTAACAGGAGCTGGACACATTGGTACCTTTAAGGCTTTTACAAAGATTTTCAAGAAGTATGATAAAGTCACAGAGATAAAAGAGGTTAGAGAATAACCAATCTTTATGATGTCTTTGATAGCAGCATTAGCTCCTTGATGAGTTTATAATAAATAATAATCATAATCAAAATAGATAGTCATAATGTTGTTTTGAAATAAAAAGTTATACTTTTAATCAATCAAAAGTGGTTTTTCTTTTTATCAATAAAGTACATATTAATAATTGTAAAAGGAGACAAAATCTTTTACATTGTGAATTAATTTGCAATATTAAAACTTAGCTCTATGTACTTAATTTAATTCTATTTCTAATTCAAATTTTCCTTATTTATTAGTTTGACTTTATTTGAATGAAACAATCACATTATTTTCAAGATAAGATTTACATCCTTATAAAAATCTAGATATTTTGCACTCATCTGATTTTAAAACTAATAACTAAATCAATATTTTATATATTAACATCATAATTTCTCTCTTCTATTAATATTTTCTATTTTCTAAACACTAAATATTTTTCAATCAATTTTTGTTTTAATAATTAAACTCCTCTACAGGTAATAATCCAATATAATAACTTCCAGATCAAAAAAAATCATTAATAATTTTCATTATGAAAAACAGGGTAAAAGCTTAAATAAAATATTATTCTCATAAAACTTAAAGTTAAGACTAACCGCTTTTGCATAATTAAACTCTCGGGATTTTCATTAAATTTTCTTACTATTTATTTGTGTAAAATTAAAAATGTTATCTCAAACCTTTCATAGTAGATTTATATTTCAAACTTTAATTAAAATTCTTATAATTGAATATATTAAATTCTCAATTAGCATTGGCTTCTTAAAAAAAAATACTAACCTTTTTCTATGAGGATCTAAATATTAATGATTAATATTATATTAAATTTATAATGAGATAACAATATATATCATTTTGAAGAGTTTAAATCAATTGAATTATTATTCATATAAATTTCTGATTAATAATCATTACATCTAGCTCCCTTTTAATATTCAATTTAAAAATAAATGTTCACAAATAATGAAATAACATCTTCTGTCTTGTAATCTATATATTTAGTTAAAAATTTATTGATAATTTTAATTCTGTAATTAATTAAAAAAGATATATATTTTAAGTGATTAATAGAAATATAATAATTATAAGATGATAAATTTGTTTTATGTAAGTGAGGAAGTGTATTCTTATGAAAATGAGGATATAATAAAAAAAGCATTAGAGTTTGATAGAATAGGAGAAGTATAATTAGATTTACAAAATAAATCAATATATTATAAAATTAATCGTAGAAAATGTATTAGATTATCAGATTTAATATTTTGGATTGTAATACATATTCATTTATATTTATATAGGAATCCGATTTTATTCGTATTCATTTAGGATAATTGCTTTATTTATTTGTTCTATTATTAAATTAAGTATAACTAATTGAATCTTAAGGAATTGAACATAATTATCTTGATTTAAATAGAATTTGGCTTCATTTAGCAGAAAATAGTTAGTATCCTAATCTTATTTATCAAATATTAATATATTCAATCCATTTTACAGGATATTAATGTCCAATTTATGAGAAATCTAAATTTTAACAAAAAGCATCTAGTAAAATCAAAGAAATTATATAAATTATCATTAATCGTTGTTTTAATAGAATTCATTTAAAATGGACTAATAATGATAAAAGGAATTAAATATATAATGAAATAATGATACCAATAATTAATTTATGTAAATCATAAAATTCAAATAATTATGATATCATAATATGTATTTAAGGTTTAATGAAGAAATATAATTATAAAGAAGATTTAAAGAATAAATTAATTTAATGTTTAGATATTGATGATAATTGTAATGATTATTTTAACTCTGATAGACAAAAGGTAATTCCGAAAGTTAATCAGGATTTAACAGCAATTATTTAATTTGCCAATTAATATGGATAAATAGTAATTGAATCTTTGTTATATTAATTTATTCCTATTATAAGTAAACATTTAGAATCTTACTCAAAACTTAAATTAGATTATATATTCAAAGCTTAACAAGAATATAAAATGATAATAAAAAATGAATCTAAAACCTATTAATTAATTAAAGAACAAGTTTAAATAATGATTTAAAATTCTCTAAAAGAAAAAGAAAAGGAATATAAATTTGAAATCACAGATGATGAAATAAAATAACTAGAAGTAGACATCATAAATTAAGTATTACAATGTTAATCTCTTAAATATTTTAATAATACATTTTGGTTATATCACAATAATCAAGAAATTCATCATTATCAATTTTCAGCAGCAACTAAATATATGGTTTAAATTGTTGAAGAACAAGTAGATTTACTTTTTATAAAAAAAGTTCTAATATTGATTACTGAATTGATATGAATATTTTATCACAAAATGTTTTTATTTTTGAATATTTCTGATACCTCTCCTAAGAGATATTGATCCTTTTCTAAATTTATGGGATATAAAGCTTGGATTTCTAAATCTAGAAACTCTAGAAGTAAAAAATTAAACTAAAGATGCAAATACAATATAATTTCGTTGATATTAATCATTTCCGATAATAATGATGAATATTAGAGAATAAATATTGAAATTGATGAGAAAAATAAATTTGTCATCAAATTTGAATTGAAGTTATAAACAAATGCATATATTTATAATAAGATATCTTATGATAATCAATTAGTACCAATTATAAGTAATACTACAATAAATATTTGATA